TCGTGAAAAATAGGACAAATGGTTATAAAAGCAAGCAGTAAAAGGCACAGCTAGTTTGAAATCTATGTTGGTGATTGCAGGACAGTAATCCCCTAAAGGTCCTGTAACATTTTAAAGCAGCTGTGCTGAACTGTCATATTTACAGCAGAGTGACAGTATTATAGCTATCTGCTGAGTTGTGCCATCAACATGAACTAAAGATGAGGGCAGGGATGCCAGAGGGATCAGAAAAGTGTAGCCCTCTCTCTTTATTTTAAACTGGACATTGCTCAGTTTTAGATGCACAGGCTACAGATATGTCACATTTGTCCCAAGATGCACAGTTTTATTCCCAGAACAAAGTGCAGTTGTTCAAACATACACGTCTGTTGTCCTGGGATAAATCCTAAAAAGGTTCATGGTATAAGAAGCATTATCTGTGGAACACGGCAAAGTGTTTTTGAACAGTTATCATCATTGAATCAATGGCAGAAAAGCTCTCTGAATCTGGATTTTTTTCTAGTCCGGGTGTTGTGTGTACGGGCCAATCCCAGGACATTTGTGTTCTTGGACAAACATGGGTACAACTTTTCCAGGGACAAATGCAGCATCTGTTCCTAGCCACAGCAGGAGACCTGATGCGACTGGAGCGCTGGATTGTGAATGCAGGAGCACCTGGACTCTGACCCTGCTGTTCACGCGGACTGTCCCTCTGGTTTGGGTAAAGTACTTGGTACCCCTGTCTGAGGGCATGTCTGCAGAGGCAAGTTTTATACTGGTATGAGGTAAAGCGTGACTATAGGTCACTATAGTCATGTCAGTGCAGCTCTCCCTATGGACTTGAGTGTAAGTTTGCCTTTTACTGGTTTAGTTCAAGCTGCTTTTGAAGTTATTCTAAGTGAGCTCAAGAATCGCTGCTATTCCTGGATAATAATATCCCCATGGGGAGTTATATTGGTATGATTGATATGATTTTCCTATTAGACAAGTCGTCTACTTTCCCACCGGAGTGTAATGGTACTTCCCAGCAAGATTCATAAGGCCTTTACAGATTACAGGCATCAGATGGGTGTTTAACTATCAGAGCAGCACTGATTTGCTGCTATAAAGTCCAGGACCTGTAAAGCATCATGGGGAAACATTGCTCCTGGCAGGATGACGAAGGGTTCACATCTGGGGTGAGCGGGGGGGCACCCAAAACATAACTCTTACCGGGTTTCAGTTTCTACAGCTGAAATTGCTTGTGGCTGCTTGCAGACAGAAGTCAGAAGGGATTGCAGCTCAGGGAGAGGCTGAGTTTCCATGGCCCAGCCCTCTGCTGAGTTTGTCCAGTTCCTGTCAATTGGGTTTGGACACTGCAGTGTTATGTGGCTGTTCGTCCACTGTGAATTGGACAGAGGCTGCTGAACAGCGCTCACTCCTGGTGTGGGCTAGATTTGCACTTTTAATCTGGGCTATTTCAGTCAAGGAGACATAGCTTTGCACAAGCTGCCAATGCAGTTGGGCGCAGCCAGCGTCGGAAAGCCTTAAGAAAATGCTGCAAAAACTGCTTCAGAAAGGCCTTTCCACCACACGAGATACAACACTGCCTCCAAAATACCACACAAGAAAATTGACAGTGGGGGGGGGCAATCAAAAGTAAAAATCCTACTGAAGCACAGAAGCACTAGCATCTGCGACTGCAGTTACGTTTACATGGACGGCATTCACTTTCTCGGGCTAGCAACATTTAAATCCTTATTAACGTTGTCATTATCACCATCTCAAAGACAGTGTTTCATGTTTGCTGTTCGTTCTACCTGCGGGATGAATTTGTCCAAGATGTCTTGGAGAGTAGCTTAGCACCATGCCGTGTGTACAGCGGAGCAATAAACGGCAAACCAAGAAGCTGCAGGCCGGCACAGACGGATGGACTGACATCCTAAAGCCCGACGCAGCATCTGTCAGAAGACACTTCCGCAGTTCTCAGGATGCTATGTTACGCAGCCGAAATGACAGGAAATGACTTCTGAATTTGTGGGGGGTTTTTGCTTTGTAGAGTGGCAGTCGAGAGAAACTGCATTCTTCCTGAAAACCGACCGAGAGTCAGTGCTAGTGAATTCCTGTAAATACCACAGACAGAGCGGCAGAGTCTTTCTTGGGGCATTTCCCCAAATCTTATGCTGTGGCACGCAGCTGGGATAACAGGAAACAGCAGCTGTTTGTTCACAATCTGTAGCAGGCAAGATAAGTGAGCCCGATGTGCAGTGTAGAAGGGGGGTTGATTTCTGAGAATCCCAGAGATTTTACAGAAATTACACTGACCTTGCATAATTCAGGGTATTTAGTTAAATCAATATTTGCTGCTCTTTAGCCAATTCAAGTGTGTCTACACACAAGGGTTTCACTGACTTAAAGTTGAGATTGAGTTCGGTTGGTGCAGCTTCTGAGTGCGGGGAAGTCCATGAAGAAGTCCTAAAGAGTGGCGCCAGGTCCACAGGAGCAATGACAGCTGTTTTCAGCCCGCAGGCAGATGCATAAAGTGCTGCGTGGTTTCAAGTGGGCCTGGATATTTGTTTCTGTAGCTGTGCTCCTCTCCAGCTTCCCTACCACGCTGGAGAGACTCGAGCCAGCTGTGTGGGAGGAGATGGAATAGGGATGGGAATAGTGATAGGGTCTAAAGCTTTTGTAAAGCTAAAATGCACTTTTCACAGTGGATTTCTTGTGGTTAATCAGCCTCTTGAAGGCTCAGGTCAAGCGTAGTGCCTGTTCTTAACCTGGCGGGGGAAATACCATGCATCTGTGTCCACGAAGGCAGTTTTCCTAAAGCGTACCGGGGGAGAACTGCTCTTCTGGTGTGGTTCAGTCCCTGCCAAGGTGTAGCGGCTTTAAGCTCACTTTATGGAAATGGGAGGCTCCTTCCTAGCTTGCTCCAAGGGCTGTATGGCTAAGGGCAAGCAAAACTTGGAGGCACCCGAACACCAAGCCTCTGGGCTTGGGCCTGCAAGTAGGTTGCCCACCAAAGGATTTTGGAAACATCTGAAGCCCCAGGTGTGGGTGGAGGATGTTTGCGGATAGTAGGACCACTTACGGTTCTGGACTGCCTCACAGGTTTGGAATTGGATTTGGCTATTTTGGCTTGGAACGTGGATAAATTTAATTAAAAAAAATCTCTTGTGGTTAATCTTGGGCTTGAAGGCTCAGATCAAGCATCGCCTATGCTTACCTGGCAGGGGAAATACCGTGATCACCATGGTAGCTATCTAGTTGCTCCTGGGGAAGACCGCTCTGCTGGCATGGGATAGTACCCACATAGGTGATGCATAGTTAACTGTGGCTTTATGCCCACTTTAGGGAAATGGGAGGCTCCTCCCTAACTTGGTTCTGCGATTGTACGGTTGAGGGCAAGCAAAACTAGGGGGCATCTGAACCCCAAGCCTCTGGGCTTGGGCCTGCAAGTAGGATGCCCGCCAAAGGTTTTGGGAACATCTGAAGCCCCAGATGGGGGTGGAGGATGTTTGCCGGTAGCAGCCACTTATGGCTCTGGACTGACTCATGGATTTGGAATTGATTTGGCCAATTTGGCTGGGAATTTTCAAAACAAAACAAAACAAAAAACTCTTGTGGTTAATCAGGACAAATACAGTGCCCTAAGCAACCAGGCCGGCTCTCCCTAGAATAATTTGGGTTTTGCAAATCCCATGTGGGATGCTCCAGCAGCCCTTCCTGAGTGTGTCGACACACACAGGCACTCTGATAACACATCTAGTCTATCGCTGAGGCTGTTTTAGCTGGAAACGGACACCTGGAGTCCCGACTGCCAGCCTCTTCCCTTGTGCAGCTCTTCTCTCCTGTACAGGTGTCCAGGGCATTTATGGCAATGGAGGTGACTTCGGCAACTCACCTGGGATTGATGTGGCCTGGCTTAGAGTAAGCCAGGTGGGGCTTGGTAGGGCTGTGCAAAATTTCACCGGCTGTTTTGTTCCAATTCTGTTTTGAATGGTTTCGAGCTCGAAACAGCGAAATCAAAATGAAACGAGGGCAGTTGAAATGTTTTGAAACGTTTCAAGTTTCGAAGCTGAAGCTGGGCTTGCCTGCAGGGAAGCAAAGTAAGGAGAGGGAGAGAGAAGAGGGGGGGGAAGGACTTCTCTGACATTGACTGTGACAGTTTGGCTGCCTGAGATGCTGCTGGTGCTCCTGTGCTGCTCACTAAGTTATTACCTGTTGCCATTTAAAGTGGTGGATCGGGATGAGGCTGTAGGGGAGGAGGAGGCCTCATTGGGGCACGCTACCATGTTGTGTAGATGCCCCAGCGCCAGTGAGGGTGCGCTTTAACACACACAGCCACGCATGTCACAAGGTTTGCTTGTCAGCAGCTTGAGGTGCAGTTCTCCAGAAACCCCTGCACCTATTTCCTTGAAAGCTGGCAGGCATGATGGCCTCAGCAGGGGCTAGTATGCCTGCAGTCATTGGCGACGCGTAGGGGGTGCACATAGGTGCACGTGCACCCCCTGAGCATGGCAGTGCACCCCCTATGAAAAGGCACCGCTGACACTGATGGCAGCACCTGTGGGCAGTCGCTGCTTGCCCTCCCCCCCGGCCACTGATACCGCCGGCGGCGTCTGCGGGCGGTCCGCGATCAGGATCGTGCCCACATTGCCTGTATTTCCTCAAAAATGTCCCTGGTTAGAGTTGCTAAATCTAGAAATCTGTGGCTCAGCTGTCCAAGGCCCTCCATAAAAATCTCCTCTTTTAATTAATGTCATCATATTCCTCATGGGTGCTTCTGCTTTCGGTTTGCTGATGCACACTGGTGTATGTGACCGTTATCACAGCTATCTTGATCGCTGATCGTATGCACTAATTGCTGATGAAGGTGGGGAGAGAGGCAAGCGATGAGATGCTGAGATACTGTCTTAGGAAATGGGTGATTTACAAAAGTGGCCTTATGAGGGGAAAAAGAAACTGGCATCTGCTCACATTATACCAAGAAATGCTTCAACCACTGCATAACGAGTTGGCTTTTTTTGTTGTTGTTGCAGCACATTTCAGTCCGTAAATTATCGTAGACTTGCCTAAGAGCGTGGAAGGAACCGTTCAGTTCCCTGGCATTGACTCTTCATCGCCAGCTGCTGGGGTCAGCCGAGGGAGATACGCCCCCGTGCCACAAAACAGCGTAAAAGAGATTGGAGTCGGGTCTAAAGAGCTTGCTGCCAGACTAATACACCAAAATCCCTCTTGCTACTGTAAGTGGAGGCTGAAACAGGAGAATGATGTAATACCTACACTTGCAACTGGGGATTTTGCAGCAGGATCTTCCCATGTTGGTCCTTCTTTCTCCCCCCCACCACTGAAAGCAGAAGCTACTCATGCATTGGGGGCTGGGTATGGAAATTGCAGGGAGAAGAGGAATCCAGCTACCCTGGCAGGCTAGCTATCAAGCAGGCAGTAGAAAGCATATGCCAGCTTACCAGCAAGATCAGAAAGGAATAGGAGGCTGGGACTGCGGAGTGGTGGTCAAAAAGAAAGAGGGAGCTTAGCACTGGGAATGAAGCCTGGGTTTTCTAAATCTTTCGGGTCTTTCCCTTTGGTCAGATGAAGGTAATTAAACATTCGGAGGAGGTCCTGAAAGCAGCGCTCATCTCCAAAAACACGCAGCTCGCGAGGCTGTACGAGAAGCTTGAGCCCGGGGAGAAGCGCTTGCTGGAGGAGGCGTTTCGGCCGCACAGCGGTCTCTTTGCACCGATCACACTGCATTCGGAGTCGGACTGGATCTCCTCACATCCAGAGCCCACGCAGGACTTCGAGCAGTTTTACCACGACCGTTACAGAAGCACGCCAACTTCCCAGAAAAGTGCCATTTACGTACAGCCCATCGGTAATGCCAAACTGCGATCTCTGAAACAGACCCAAGATATCCAGGGTCCTAATATGCCATTCCCATAAAACAAACTATTGCTTTATGTGTTAGTTGTAATGCCCTAGTTAAGTTGTGTGTTCCAGGTTTCAAACAAGAACGCGCTACCTTAGCTCCCGGGCAAACCGTCTAGTGCGTAGCACAGGAGGTGCGGGAATCGCGTTTTCTGGGACCCGCTCCTGTTGCATCTGTTCAAATGTGCAGCTTGGAATAATTCCCCTAGATCCCTGTGCTTAGGGACGTTTTTAGCTTTGCCCATGTGAGTTGTCCCCATTATAGTTAAAGGGATTATTCATGTGAATAAATGCAAGTACACCTATAAATGCTTGTGGAATTAGGACCTTGATTTGGGCCTCAGTTCACCTATGCTTAGACTGGTGAAAGCACAAGCTTTGTGGGAGTACTGTGAAGCTTCATGAATATTCACAAAGTACTTCGGGCTTCTGGGTGATTGGAAAAAAGCAAATTACTGCTGTTATTTTAATATATTTTTTGGTAGTATGTTGGGTGCAGGCATGTCAATAATGGTGGCAGTAAATAGCTTGTGAAAGATTTCAACTTTTCTGCTTTTCTGATTTGTTCTAAAATATATGTATAATTTTGAGGAAAAAAATGAATCTGGAAGTTTAAAAAAATAGGAATAATCACAGTCCTGGAAAACAAAACATACTGCAGGAGAAAACAGGTCAGCAACAAATGTGATATGTTAAACTTCAGTTTCTGTACTCCAGCCTTATTTAATCATCTGGTTAAGAAAGAGATCTGCTGTTCCCCTCCTAGCTGAAGTTTTAATTACAGTTATGAGCACGAGGTTCTCTATTGGAGTTTACAGATCTGATGTAAAAGTCTGTGATACCTATTGTGAATAGCACTGTTTATTGTATGTTTTTGATAGTGGATATTTGATATTGGTCACAACATTTGACAGTGAGCAATACTTTTTACTTTTAAAATAACCGCCCCCCTAAATTACCACCTCATCACAATACAATAATTTTTTCAACTGTGACTACTGCTATTATGTGATAGTGTTGTGTCCTGTTACTGTAGAGTAATCTTAGTACTGCTTTGTGTTGGTCAAGGCCAGAAGTTAATTAAGCGAGTCTTGGCATTGTGTGGCAACAGAAAAACTTGACGTGTCTAATTGCACTGTGTTTTTATAGCGTTGCTCCTATTTTCTTTTGAGGATTTGGTGTCAGTGTGAAATTTGCTAATGAAGTGTTACTATTAGTATTCTTGTGGGGGATATTTTTGTATGTGATTTGATTACTTGACCTACTAAAGCATATTTGTAACCCAGTGTCATTTTGGCTGAATTGTATAGGTTCTTTTGGTGATTCCAAAGTTAGTCCAGAGAATTATCTGAAATGGCTGAAGGATTACTGCGAAGCCTTTTATTATGGCCTGATGGTAAAAATCCTGGACCCAGTTCCTGTTTCACAGACAGCTTGTGCTTTTCGGGTAAATGAGTACACGCATAATCTACAGGTTCATGCAGGTATGTGAGGAGGGAACCAGCAATGTGATGTTGGGAACCTTCTTATTGCAAAAGTGCTAGGTTAGCAAAAAAAAACAAGCAAAAAGTGTTCATTCATGGTAAATATTAGAGGTACAAGAAGAAAACATTTTAACATGATGTGGTGCTCAACTTCTGCAGTAATAGGCACTGTAGTGTCGGCCAAAAGACAGATTGGCAACTTCACAGTCCTTGGATGTAGGTCTGCAGAACAAACGTGGCTCATAAAAGGCCATCCCTGGTTAGGTATTGAGGGAAGAGGTTTGGCTTGGACATGTGAGCACAGGTCTAAAACTCGGTGAACCAGCGTCCAACTCTCAGCACTCCGAGCTGACCTAAATCTTCAGCCTTTATTCCTATGAACAATTTCACTGCTGTTGGAGGGTTTACTTACATAAAGGAAGGCAACCAGATCATACTTTGAAAAGCAGCTGACTTACGCATCTAACATGGGGCCTTTGGCAACCAAACTCCCCACGTCAAAGAAATGGTCACGTTGTCTTCTGTGGACGACTGGCTATTTAAAACTAACAAGTTTACTCGGTGATTCTAGAGATCAAAATGATGTTAAACCAAAATGCATTTTATTTGCATATGGCTTTGAAATGCTTCTTGGCCCAGAGAATGTGACTTGTGGTGGTGATTTCTGTCGTGTGACTATTGGTTCGGTGAGGATTTCCTGAGACCCTCGCCCTCCTAAAGGCCTTTCTGGCTCTGACAACTTTTTGCTACTTACAATTTGTAGTAGATTCAAGCATCTATTGTTATTATCAGAAAAAAAACTCACTACCCTGAAGTAGCCTAATTTCTTATGGATTCAGTCTTGCAAGCAGAACTCTTTGAATAATTTCATGCATGTGAAAGGCTTGGAGGACTTGACTGCTTTAGCTGCATTAGATCCTCCTGTTCAGTAGTGTGGCTTGACTCCTCTGTGCTAGATTTATTACTGCTTTCCTGCCTGGTGTTTAATGCTTTCTCCTGTTTTATATAGGGGATCTCCTGCAATTCCTGAAGAAGAGGAAACCCAGGGATGCTTTCTGTATTGTGGGAATAACCATGATAGATCTTTATCCAAAGGAGTCTTGGAACTTTGTCTTTGGACAGGCTTCTTTGACAGAAGGTATTTCAATTTTACATCAAGATTATATATGTAATAAGAAAACCTAAAATGACTTCCAAAAGATCAGTTAGCAGCACAGTAATAACGCACATCAAATGCAAATTTGTATGGAAAATATATGGAGAGGTATTCAGTGGAGTTGCTGTACATTTTATTGGCATGTATTTTTTTTAAGTGAATGATACAGTGCTAACTCTTTAAGTCAAAGATCAGTATGTTTTAGACAGTCAAGCAGTGAAAAAATCAATAGTTTTGATTAAACTGCTGTTAAGACATTATTCATAACTTAAAATACTTATTTTCACTTCTGTGCCGAGCGCTGCTTAGTAAATAAACTGCCCTAAAGGGTTTTGTTTTTTTCATAAACTTACCTATGAGTTACAGAAATATCAAAAAACCCCAAGCTTATGTTTTCAAGATATTTTTCAAGATATGTTTTCAAAATATTTTTTTTTCATGACCTACTTATGAAATACTGTATTTTGCTTAAAAATAACCTTATGAGAATAAAGGAAGGGTGGAACACAGGACCTCATGCTGCCGTCAGACTTAAGTCCCAGAGCAGTCTTAAATGTGTATATTATTTTTTCTCTCTCTGTCTCCCCCCCACTCCCCCCACTACAAAACACTTTTCTCTAGAGTATTAATCCATAGTCTTTTGCTGTAAAACCACTGAATCTGGCTGTAATAGCATATTACATGCATGATTCCTGTTGATTATACTAGGAGTTTAGGCCACAGAAGAAGATTTTCAGATGGACAGTTGTGGTTTTTTCTTTTATTTTTTCTTTTCTTTTCACAACATTGCAGGGTGATTAATTCAAATGAGGCATCAAAATTCCACTAGTAATTGCAAACATGAATGTGAGGAAGGGAACGTGTAAACTGTTTGGCAGACCTGAGTCATCCCAGCCTTTCCTCGGTTAGTATGAATCAGCTGTGCCACATAAGTCATGTCCCATCCTCTGTGGAGACTAGGGCAGTGCCGTGTCCTTATGTGTTCGTTACTTAAAAGACCCAGAAGGACAAATACAACCTAGGTATGTTCAGTGCCCCCCTAGGTTGTCTTTTAGAGGGATCTGCTCTACCAGAGCCATTCATAGCAGATTGCTCCATCTTGATTTCTGTAGCAGTTTTGATTGAACCATTCAGCCCAATCAGCACCAAAGGCATATATTGCATTTACTAGCTCCATATCCATGCTCATCATGTGAAAAGGGATTTTACAATATCTGTGACCCAGATCTTGAATTCAGATCTTGTAATGCAATTCAGTCATTATAGTCTTACAGTTAAGGCAGAAGACCGACAGTCAGGACCTGACATAAGGAAGAATGTCAGGCTGGACATAAGGAAGAATTTCTTCACTGTCCGAGCCCCCAAGGTCTGGAATAGCCTGCCACCGGAGGTGGTTCAAGCACCTACATTGAACGCCTTCAAGAGAAATTTGGATGCTTATCTGGCTGGGATCCTGTGACCCCTGCTGACTTCCTGCCCCAGGGGCAGGGGGCTGGACTCGATGATCTTCCGAGGTCCCTTCCAGCCCCAATGTCTATGAAATCTATGCACCTGCTTTGCTGCTGACTTTACCTGTAGCCTTGGGCAAGTTATTTAAACTTTGTGCCTTAGTTTATCCCCATGTAAAATGTGGAATGTTGTACATAATAACCTTGGGGAAGTTGTAAATAATGTCTGAGAAGCAAAAGCAAGCTCTTTGAATGAAAGGCACTGTACAAGTTCAGTATAGTATTAGCACTACAAGTCCTATGCAGAATGTGATGTTTTATGACATCCCTTTTCTCATATAAGATTGTATTAGGTAATCAAGTCAATGGCAGTTATTTAGTTTGCGGATCGGCAGCGTTTTTGGTGCGAGTGCTAAAAAGCCCTACAACCTTGACTTGGAAGATGTTGGCATGCCAGGATGGATGGCTGGGGAACCACGAGGGGCCCGATCCTTGTTGTGGCAGTGCAGCCCTGGCCCCTTCCCTGCCATGCACCCTGGGGCTCACATGCAGCCCCTGTCTGCATTGAGCCGGGCTGGGGCTCTGGACCCCCGGTTGCAGCCTCACGGCTGCCTGCTGTGAGCACCCCAGGCCCTGGGCAAGCTCCTGCCGCCTGCCATGGAGCCCCGGCTACCCGCAGGAGGGCTTGCAGCCTCCTGCCGCCTGCTGCGAGCAGCCCAGGCTCTGTGGTTGCAGCTGCACATGCACCTCTGGGCACAAGGCAGGGAAGGGGCCTCCCAGCTGCCTGCCATAGCCCAGCTGGGCTCTGGGCAGGCCTCTGCTGCCTGCCCCTGAGCCCAGGCCACTTCTATCAGGGCTTGCAGCCTCCCTGATAGGAGCAGCCTAGGCTCCGTGGCTGGTGGCACTTGTCCAGAGCCTGGGCTGTCTGGTGCCAAACAAAATGTCCTCATGCGTCATGCTCTGGCACACGTGCTGGGGGTTGCCGCCGACCCCCGATTTAGATTGTAGAAGCAGTCCCAACAAAATCGGTGGCTTTAAGTAAGCCAGCAAATATCACATGACATTACTTCACATTGTAAATGAGATTTTACTTTGTGTTGTAAGTATGTTTAAGTTGGGTTTTGAGCCAGCTGGGAAGGTGGCTGTATGGCTGTTTTGTTTTATTTTTCAGATCCGTAGCGTAAGGGATGCTTGAGCTCCTTTGAGCAGAAGAGGTCGCTAGTAGCTCATACAAAACGCTTTTTACAGGCTGCTGAGAGTCCTGCTCTTTGCTGTGCTTTCCAGGGCAGTAAGGCAGTCCACTGTTTAAACAGTGGCAAGTTGGCTCAAAATAGGTGAGGGTGAACCTACAGCTCTTCCTCCTTCCTGAGCAATGAATTGAATAGTAAATTAACTGGAAGATGTGAAAAGCAAAGGAGTGATTTTTTCAGACCCGAGATGCTGTTGATTCTGAGGTTCATTTTACTCAAAGACCTCAGTATATCTAACACAGCATACACAAAACCAAAAACATCATGGCAAGAGAAATGACCTGCAGGCTTGGTTTATTTTTTTGTGGAAGCTTGTAACTCCGCTGGCCGAGATTGTCGATACGTGGTTTTTGCATTCAAATATTCATTGAACTACAGTTATATTATAGAGGGTATATAGTTCAGTTGTTTGAACAAAACCTGATGAATTTTGCTCGAAACTGGCCATTGGGTTCTCTGGTTACTAGAAGCTCTTTAATTCAAAGGACTGAGATTTAGCAATGAGATGTGTAACTATAAGTGGGTTGTGGCACCTAACGTATTTGTACTGGTCCTGAGTCACTGGAGTGTAATCATGTCTTTTTTGATTACCCCACGGCAGCTGCTAAAGTCACGTGAGAATGAATGTCACATTATTCTTCCTCACTCAAAATAATGTCTGGATTCTCACAATCTGCTGTAGAGACACCAATGCTTTATGCCGTTGGTGAGCTAGGCATGCTACAAGGACGTTGAAACAATCCTTCACACCCCATAGTAGTGCTGTTTCGACATTAACAATATAGAAATTTTGGGAGTCTGACCAGAATACGTTTCACTGCATTTATTTTTGTGGCAATTTGTAGAACAATTTTTTGATTTCTCTCTCCTAAAGGGATGGGGATCTTCAGCTTTGCCAGATATGACAGTGATTTTTATAGTGCAAGCTACAAGGGCAGACTGAAGAGTGGCAAGAAGTATCCTGTTGCAGACTATTCAGTTTTCAGCGGCTATTATACTCCTGCAATTACGAGTTTGCTGCTTCTGAGATCCTGCAAGGTGAGTGCCTGGTGAGCTCTTGTGATTCACTGAAAGCCTTAAAATAACTTAGTTTCTAAGGGCCTAATTCTCCTCCCAGTTATGTAAAGTAGGAGCAACTAGTGAAGTCACTGGAACTGACCCAGTGTAAATGAAAGCAGAACCTGTCTGTATCCTCCAGCCCTGCACTTGAGAGGTATTACTGTTTATTAGTATTGCTGCTACTACCCTAGTGCTGAGATATCCTTGCTGAAGTCAAGTCTTGCCATATTAGGAACTGTACAAGCAAGTAAATGGGACTGCCCATGTGCCAAAATGCTTACAGCCTAACTACACAAGCCAAGATAAAGGCAGAAGAAGGGAGGTGGTATAATCTCTATTTGACACCTGGGGAATTGAGCCACAGAGATATTATGACTTGCACAGGAAATCAGTGGCCATTGTAGAACTGTACCTTAAGCATCTTCATCTTCCTCTGCTTAGAAGTGGTAGCTGTCCAGTACCATGTCTGTGCCCTGTATTGCAAATGAAACCTTTGTGGATTGAGCCCATTTTGTATTGGAGTGTAGAGGGTGTAGGAAAGAACAGGGGAAAATACAGATAAAATGAATTGTCGAGGCAAACCTGTGTTTCAGACCCTGACCCATGAGATCGGGCACATCTTTGGACTCCGTCACTGCCAGTGGCTGCAGTGTGTAATGCAGGGTTCAAATCACCTGGAGGAATCGGACCGACGGCCGCTGGACCTGTGTCCCATTTGTCTGCGCAAGCTGCAGTGTGCCATCCGCTTCAACATTGCAGAAAGATATAAGGTACACCAAGAGGTTGGTAATGGAAGGGTTTGTGCTCGGCCTTGGACCAGTGGCTGTCTGGGTCCAACATCCTGCCAGTGTGGAGTGCGTTGGAGAAAATGGAAATTGTCTTCCTGCTGTCGGGCACACCTGGTGACTTGTGCAATACTATACGGCCGGGAACTCCTTACAGGGCGCTGTAGCTGTCAGCCCATGCCCTAGAGCTTGACATTTGAATACCTCAGCATACATTATGCAGCCCCAGCTAATGCTGCTTTTTTTTACCTTGTAACAATGGTTCTTGCAGGCGTGAATCCCACAGCCACACTCGGTAGGAAGACGTGTTCTCTTGGGTTTTAGCAGTTTAGTGGTAGAAACATTGCTGTGGTGCAATGGCTTATATCTCTGTTCTCTTGCTGCTTTTCTGATTCTCTCTGGTGTTACTTACAAGACTAAAAAAATAAAGGTTCATATAAGTTCATGGTCTGTGCAGGAAATTGTGGTCTGAAACTTGCAACAGACTATCGGTGGTGATGCAGAATACTAGCCCTGTGGTTTGTTGGAAGCTAAATGTTTGCTTGTGCTGCTAAGTACTGGGTAATAGAAGCAGCTATTTACACAGGGATGCAGTGCCTTTAAGATGCCTTTAAGTTGCAAGAATGCCTTGTTGTGAACACAGTTCACATGTTGAAAGGCTCCTAGCCTGTACAAATGGGGTTTTGTTGTTCACAGTACAAGAAGCGGAATACAGCGAAGAGAGAGAACAGTTTTGGAGTTGGTCATTATTTTAATTCAGTTCTTCTTTGGTGCTTATTTGAAACTAGACTGCTGGTTCAACGTGTGCATTTCTTCTAGGCGTTGCTGAGGTGGATGGACAACGGTGGGAGTGGAACGGAAGCTGAGTTCGGGCATGCAGCAGAGGTGGGTTTGCCGAAACCAGTGGAAGCATTTAAGGAGTGCCGAGAGTGGGTAGTAAAATGTCTGGATGTGCTGCAGAAGTAAAGCATTGGAAAGTAGGTAGCATCAAAAGGAAATGATCCTTTATTTAACAGATTACTTCCAAGCTGACTACTTCTAAAATCTGTCATTTGATAAGGGTCGTCCAGTGCATTGTAAGCATCTCTTTAAACAAAGCTCCATCCCTTTGACACTTCATTGAAACCATCCTCTCCCAGATGGTAACGATTTCCATGTGACCCTAAAATATTTAGTCTCTGCAATACTTCTATCAGCAAGCAAGATACAGTCTAATCATTATTGCTTTGATATGCAGCAAAACATATTTAGCATTTGTAAATAGACCTAGAATATGCTTTATAAATGCTTGTGGAGCATTGTGGTGCTTTTTTTCATTTAGTCCTGTAGCACTGTTGAGTCCATGGTGATGAACATCCAGTGGGCAGAGTCCTAATGGAAAAGTTTGGTTGTTCCAAGAACCACGCAGCAACTGTGGCCTGGTTGTGCTAGTTCTCTGGGCACTGTCAAAAACTCAGTGAGAAGATTCCAGTTCTCTGCTAGAAAACCTTACAAGAAGGTTCCTCCTATGTGATAGCAGAGATATGTCCACACTGAGCCATTTAGGGGGAGGACTCAAGTCAGTTTTTACTTGGTGTTTGCCTAGGAAATCAGGAAAAGGTCCCTAGGCACTTAACTTTAGGGGCAGAGTGAAAAGAACCTGGATAAAAGAAACAAAGCTGGAAAGATTTAATTGCTGAGCTGTGTGATGGGTTTAATTTCCCATAGCAGGATATTGTTTTTAATTACTGTTACTAAGACTCAGTTGCGCTTCCGTTTTGCTTTATATAATCATGTTAGGATCCTTCCTAAGTCTGCGGCTGCTAAATTGACCTGCTCTCATCATCACCCAAAGCAAGGTGATGGGACAGATTTCACGCTGTGCATTATTTTCAGGATTATTTCTGTACTCTTATCTGTGAAGGTGCTTACAGCCTAACTGGTTCTCCCTTTCTGGCCCAGACCTGCTGGAAGGAGTTCGCTTTTGATTTCAGTTTAAAAATCTGCCATTCCTAAAATGGTGAAAAATATACACAAAGTATCTTTTATATGATTTTAGACCCTTAATCAGGCAAAAATATGTTCTAATAGCTGTGGTTAGAACATGATTATTACCGAAGTGCCATGTTTGTGGGAATGATGCCTGCCAGGTAAATGAAAGAGCACCATTTGTTTCTGATACTGCTTTTGTCCTAAGGCTCTAATTTTGTAATCTCATCAATGGAGAGATCCTCACTGTTCAGGAGCAAATATTTACAAGCACTTAAGTGCTACAGGCACTTTTTGCTCACAGGAGAAATCTCTTTGCTGTCAGTCTAGCTACCTGTATGAATAAAGTTATCCGGGTACTTAGGAGTTTGCAGAATTGGACCCTAATTTTGCTGAATCAAGAGTTAACAGTAGCTAAACTGTTGTGTTAACAGTAGGTTTTGGTTGCTCCCAAAAACCAAACTCTACGGGATATTCAGTACTGCATCTTCTTCATGTTTTTACAATTTGAAATGTATTCAATGGAAAAAAATATTTTGGGATGGAAACGTGGTCCCATTGAACCAAAATATCTGAAGAATTCATTTGGGTCTGGCTTGCGTGCCAGATCTCATGTGAAAAAGGGATTTATTGGAATTAAAATATTTAAAAAAATAAATGTTTAATGTATATTTTTAATGTGCATGCTCAGGTTGCTCACGGGCATTGCAGTCTCTTCAGGTCCGTAAGAAGAAAGCTGGTTTGTAATGATAACGTGGGAACGTGACAGGAGAGGCATGGAATAGAGGGAAAATAGTTGAGAAGTGGCCCAGTTTCTTCTTCCCCTTTCTTGCAGCATGCACAGCCTCTCTCCCTTCAGAGGCAG